CCCATGGACGGAGGAGCCTGGGAGGCCGCAGTCCATGGGGTCGCGAAGAGTCGGACACGACTGAGCGACTTCATTTCCCTTTTCACTTTCATGCATCGGAGAAGAAAATGGCAACCCACTCCAGTGTTCTTGCCTGGAGAATCCCAGGGACGGTGGAGCCTGGTGGGCTGCCGTCGATGGGGTCGCACAGAGCTGGACACGACTGAAGCGACTCAGCAGCAGCAGCAGAAGCAAGGCTGCCTGTGGGCCTACGGTCAGGGGCCCCTCCAGACCAAGGGTGAGACTTGTGGGTGAGAGACTCCGGTAATGGTGTGGGCTGCAGGGTTGGAAAGAACTTTCACGAGTCGCTAGATGAAGAGTCAGCTTTCTACACCTAGCATGCCTGGGGAGATGTGTGGCAGGTCACCCAGTACTAGTTAGAATTTGATTTAAAAATTTTTTTATTAGTATTCTTTTTGGCTGTACCACAGGGCATGTGGCATGACCAGGCGTGGAACCCGAGCTAGGGATGGAACCCCACCAGAGTTCCGAGTTCCCCGACCAGGGATGGAAACGGAGCCCCCGGCCCTGGGAGTCTTAACCACTGGTCGGCCAGGGAGGTCCCCAAAGCTGATTTTTAGAGTAGAATGCGTGACAGACTTGCTGCTCTCTCTCCCCTATTTCAACTCTGGAGGAAGCAAAAGCAGCCCAGTGAGTGAGTGAGGAAGACGATCTCAAGATGTGTGAGCAGAGGGGAAGGGGGAGCAACATTCATCCCCCACACAGAGTTCCTCTCACATACAGACACAGACTCGCATGCGCTGTTCCCCGGCTGTGTGCTGTCTACCCAAAATATATCGGGAAGGTGCAGAAGAGACGTTTTTAACCTTAAATAAACTTTTTTGTTTGTTTTTTGGCTTGTAGTCTTTTTCAAAAAAATTATTTTTTATTGGAGGATAATTGCTTTACAGAGTTTTGTTGTTTTCTGTCAAACCTCATCATGAATCAGCCATCAGGTCAGGTCAGTCGCTCAGTCGTGTCTGACTCTTTGCCACCCCATGAATCGCAGCACGCCAGGTCTCCCTGTCCTGTCCTATCTTTTTGCCTTTTCATACTGTTCATGGGGTTCTCAAGGCAAGAATACTGAAGTGGTTTGCCATTCCCTTCTCCAGTGGACCACATTCTGTCAGACCTCTCCACCATGACCCATCATAAATATACACATATCCCCACCCTTTTGAACCTCCCTCCCGTCTCCCTCCCCATCCTACCCCTCTAGGTTGAGATAGAGCTCCTGTTTGAGTTTCCTTAGCCATACAGCAAATTCCCATTGGCTATCTATTTTACATAGGATTGTATAAGTTTCCATGTTACTCTTTCCATACATCTCACCCTCTCCTCCCCTTTGTACATCTTTTATTGTGGTAAAATACACATAACATCTAATTTCTCATTTTAACTGTTTTAAAATGTAGAATTCAGCAGGACCGAATTGTTGCATACCCAATTGGGTATTGTTGTGTACCCATCTCCAGAACCCTTTCATCAAGCCCAACAGAAACCCCATGTCTGCTAAACAAGAACTCCCCATTACCACCCCCCCCCCCACCTGCTGCCCCTGCCCCCAGGAAGCACCATTCTACCCTCCATCTCTGAATCTGACCACTCTGTATGGCTCTCAAAACTGCAGTTACTGAAATGAGACTTTTATAACTTGAAGTGACCCTGGAAATTTTGCCAGTGTAGAGTGTCCAGAAAAGACATCGGCCTTCCCAGTATTCAATTCAAAGGTGTGATGATGAGCCAGCCCCAGAGAACAAGTCCGAATGGGGGTTGGCTGTTCTCTGATTTCCTTGACCACCATGAAAGGAAACTCTGGTCTTCAGCATCTGGGACCCTGAAGGAGGCAGGCAGACCCTGGCTCTTGCCTTCTGGGGTTGCTTTTCTGGGTGGCTGGTCTTGGGTGGGGTTGGGGTCGGGATGGCTGCCAGGAGGCCACCAGGGGGCGTAGCAGGGAGCTTCATGAGCCCCAGAATCAGAGGGGCCTCAGGGGCCCAAGCCAGGAGCCTGTCGAGAGTCAAGTCCTGCTCCTGCAGGAGAGCCCTGCAGCTTGCTTTTTTCACTTAGCATGCCTTGAAGGGTGTCCACGTCAAGACATGAAGACCCACCTCTGTCTTTAAATTGCTGCATGATGCAGAATTACCAGCACTTAGGTTTCCCTGGTGGCTCACATGGTAAAGAATCTGCCCGTAATGCGGGAGACCTGGGTTCGATCCCTGGGTGGGGAAGATCCCCTGGAGAAGGGCATGGCTACCCACTCCAGTATTCTTGCCTGGAGAATCCCATGGACAGAGGAGCCTGGTGGGCTGCAGTCCATGGGGTCACAAAGAGTTGGACATGACTGAGCAAGCATCACTTTCACTTTCCGGTCACCGATTCCCAAGCTGGTGGACTTTATAGTTGATTATACTTTTCTGCTATTAGCTGTTACTTCAGGAAACACCTATCATTCTTCTTGGACTTGTGTTTCTCTAAAGTTGCTTAATTATTCAGTCACAGGCAGGTCATCAATTACATGGGTGAGTGACAAGGTTAGATTGTGACTTAGAAGGGTTTAAAAAGTCATATGAGAGAGATGTCTTTTGGGAATGACTTTGAAATGGAACAGTTAGACCACCTCTAGAGCTGTCATCAGGGGTGACCCAGGTCACATTCGTTCAGTGGGTTAGACAACATGGAGTGGAAGATCTTGGGGAGGAAGAAAAGAAGCTTCTATGCTGGAGGATATGGTCACCCTTAGATTATAATAACATGCATATTGCTAATATGACCATTGTTCTGTGTGTACATTTTATTCCTCACTACTGTATTTTATTCCTCACTACTGTATAATTAGTTGACAATGCTATTTACTTAAAAAAAAATATATCGAGGTGGCGCAGTGGTAAAAAAATCCACCTTCCAGTGTAGGGGATGTGGGTTTGATCTCTGGTTGGGGAACTAAGATCCCACAGGCCATGGAGCAACTAAGTCTGTGTGCCACAACTACTGAACCAGTGCCTCAACTCGAGAGCCCATTAGCTGCAAACTACAGAGCTCGTGTACCACAGCTAGAGAAGTGTGTGTGCCATAACAAAGGATCCCACATGCTTCAACTAAGACCCAATGCAGGCAAAAATAAATAAAGTTGTCTTTTAAAAATAATGAGGCTGATCAAAACACAGCCAGATCAATCTCAAGATGATTGAGCTGATTGTGCTGTTCTGCATGTGGCCCCCCACCTGCCTGTGCACCCCTAAAACTCCTCTTTAAAAGCTCTTGCCCCCTGATCACCAATGGTGAGTTGGTTTTTTGGGACATGAGTCTACCTTCTTCCCAGGATTGTTGGCTTCCTCAAGAAAGCTATCTTTCCTTTTACCCAATACTTGTCACTTAATATTGATTTCTTGAGCAACAAACAGTTCAACCTGAGTTTGGTAACCAGATAGGGACCCTGAACCCCTTGCCAGTGCTGATTTTTTTCTGAATGTTCATGAAACAGGAATCATAGGCACCCAACAGCATTTCAGGGACATTCAGATCAGACAGTGATTGTGGAAATGCTGTGAAAATTGAAAAGCACTAGATAAGAATGAGCTTTAATAAAGACCTGAAAAGCTAAGCATAAATATAGATACAACATGCAAAAGATGAGATAAAATCTGAAGTGAGACACTTGTCAAAAATATCCTGAGATTTTATTAATTTATATCTATTGGGGAAAAAACCCTAGATAGAACTATATGCACAAAATCTCAAAAGACCAGATGCAATCCATGTTAACAGCATGGGCTCAGGAATTTATCCATACTCCCCATTTAAAACACATCATGTTTCCCTGTGACTATAAAAATAGCACATGGTCTTTGTAGAAAATCTGAGAAATAGGGGACAGCATAAGAAGGAAAATAAAAATCACCCATAATCCCACCAGTCAGAGATCACTATTAACATTTTTGGTATATCTCTCCTATGCTTAAAAAAAAATCCTGTACTTGTATTTTATCGTGACTGATATCACACGAAACACAGTTTTGTGTCCTGACTTTTCCACTTAGCATTGTATCAGGGACATTTCTCCAGAACATTACAGATGCTTTGTGACTATGAAGGTTACTTCTGGTTCAGCCCCATATGAGAACTGAGCTTTTGTAACAGGCTGAGCACCATGCTGCCTGGATGGGGAAAATAAAGGAGAACCAGAAAAGCAGCTGTGGGAGATCTGAGTCCATAACACCAACAGATCAGGAGCTGAGCTCCTGTGGGAAGGAGTTCTGATCCTGAGCGTCTCTGTCTACATGTGGGAAACTCCCTGCTTCGCTGGAGGACCTGCTGGCAGATTTCATTCATCTGAGATCAGGCCTGGCCAGCTTCAGTGGCAGGAGGCTCTGACATGAAGGTCAGCCAGGATAGAAGGCGTTTCTGGGGGACTTCCCTGGCGGTCCAATGGTTAAGACTCCGCCTTCTAATGCAAGGAGTACAGTTTCAATGTCTGGTCAGAGAAATAAGATCTCACATGCTGCAGGGTGTAACTAAGATTAAAAATAAACAAATCTTGTTTAAAAAAAAAAAAAAAGCCTTTCTGAGCTGACACTGATAGTCCATGGAAATCGTGGCTTTGTTTGCTTCCTGGCACATTTTCAGGAGCGAGGTTAGCAAGAGTCAGTGTCCCTGAGTAAGAACTTGCTCTGAGTGGCTTTGGGCTTTCAGCTCCATGGCTGACTGAGACTCAAAAAGCAAAACTTAACCACAAAAAAGAGAAATCACCCCTGGATAGTCGGCAAAGATAGCACTTTAAAGTCACCTGGGTCTTCGCATGACTTCCTAGGCATTGCTGCGGTGTCATGTTGGTGTGAAACCAGCAAAAAAGGAGAGGGAGGAGGAAAAGGGGTGGGGGTAGGGGATGCCCCAAGTGTCATTCTGTGAGGACTGGATTGTCAGGTTCAAAGTGCTCCTGGTTTTCTTTCTCTGGAGAGTGCTGGTTACATCATGGGGTAAGCGATGACAAAATAGTTAAGCTCGGAATCGATCAGCTTTCTGTACCTCCTGTAAATTTCCCGCAGTGTCCTGTCCTCTTCATTCGTCTCATATCTGTTTGTATAAATTCTCACCTGTGCCGACAGAGAAATACACCTCCACACATGCACCCTGTGACTACATCACCCAGGCCCCGAAGACAATCCAGATGAGGTACCCGTACAATTGTTGGCAGAATCAGGAAGAGCCTAAACCCAACTATTAATGCTAAGGATGATTACTACTAATTATTAATCCTAAACTCCAGATTCCCTTGGAAATTAGCAATTTCACAGAATGGACAGACTTGTGAGACGTCCAGCCTCCATGTCCTGCCTCATCCCTGACCTTCATCCCAGGACTGGACACCTGCCCCCCAGGAGCCCCGTGCCCCTTCCCTTGGGAGGAACCCACCCCAAGGTGCTCTTACCTTGAGTGTGCGCAGGGCACACTGCCCTTCCTCCCGGATCTTTAGAATCCGCTCCACAAACTTAACATCCAGGAAAGCCCAGATTTTGAAGTAAAACAACTTCCTGCAGGATAAGATGAGGAGGTGCAGCTCTTCATCCAGAGACTCATGGTTGTTGTTGAATTCAAAAGTTAGTTTCTAGAAAAGCACCAATGGGGCAGACAATGTGAACAGAGATGCTGGGACTTAGCTGGATCATTTCATAGCACTTTCATGATCCAGCACTGGCCTGGTGGCCGTGGTGGTTCAAGTGTTTTACTTATTTATTGGGCGTGCCACGTGGCATACGGGAGCCTAGTTTCCCTGATCAGGACCAGGGATGGAACCCATGCTTCCTGCAGTGGAAGCGGAGTCTCAACCACTGGCCCACCGGGGAAATCCCCTCCAGTGCCTTCGATAAGGGACACTGGACATGCAGTTGTCAGAGGAAGGGATTTGGGAATGCAAGTGATCTCATCCAAGTTTCCAAAACTTGGAGTTTTGAGGCAGTGAACTTAGAGTCTGGAGACCAAGGTGGTGTTCCTGGCCCTGCAGTGGACCGGCCAGGTGACTATGGGCAACACCAAAAGGTGGTATGATGTCTGCCTGCCCACTTCAGAGATGTGTGAGCATAAATGACTTCTTCACATTTTGTCATCCCTCACTGTAAGTATTGGTGTTTCTTAATTTATAAGTCTATTAATAAATTTATTAATTTATCATTTATTTATTATATAATTATAAATTTATTAAGTGGTATAAATTAATTAATTTACTTGACTGCACTGGGTCTTTGTTGTGGCATGCAAACTCTTAGTTGCATCATATGGGATCTAGTTCCCTGACCATGGATCAAAGCTGGGTCCCCTGCATTGGGAGTGTGGAAGCTTAGTCACAGGACCACCAGGCAAGCCCCAGTAGTGGTGTATATACCCCTGTATATCCATCCTCACAGCCTCGTGTGAAGTCCTTGTTATTCAGTTGCTCAGTTGTGTCTGACTCTTTGTGATCGCCTGGATTGTAGCCCGCCAGGCTCCTCTGTCGATGGGATTCTCCAGACAAGAATACCAGAGTGGGTTGTCATGCCCCTCTCCAGGGGACCTTCCCAATCCAGGGATCGAAACTGCATCTCCTCCACTGGTAGCCATGGGTTCTTTACCACTGAGCCACTTGAGAAGACTGTGAGGTCCTTAGCAGGGGACAAAATGACGCTGATGTTATAGATGGGGAGCTGCCAGATTAGAGAATAGCCCACACCTCTGAGCTCTTCGGTAACTTGGTCAAGTTTGGTTTTTTGTCTGGTTTGGAGCCGCACTGTGTCCTGTGTGCTTCTGTGTTGGGTGGATGAGTGGAAGGCGCTGCCGACCTGCTGGTCACTGGTGGGGGCACCTGCATTCTCGGACCTCAGAGTTCTGAGCCAGGGATATAGGTGCTTTCCTTGGTGGACAGTCAACCAAGAGTGGGTTTCATGTACAAGAAGCGAGCAGTAGCTTTTGTCCTCTGCTGTGGTCTTGGGGACCAGGAGAGGCGTAGCTTGGCGAACTTTCTCAGAATCTCAATTTAAGGCTTCCCTGAAGGCTCAGATGGTAAAGAAGCTGCTTGCATTGCAGGAGACCTGGGTTCGATCCCTGGGTCAGGAAGATCCCCTGGAGAAGGAAATGGCAACCCACTCTAGTATTCTTGCCTGGAGAATCCCACGGACAGAGGAGCCTGGGAGGCTACAGTTCACAGGGTCATAAAAGAGTCAGACATGGCTGAGCATCTAACACTTTCACTTTTCGAGAGCAGGCAGCAGGAACCAGAGGGGTGGCCACTCTTCCCAGGCCTCCCAGCCCTAGGGTCGTACCTACCTGCAGAGTGTGCCGGAAGGTGGGCAGGAGATCCGTCAGCGTGGGTCTCATGGACCAGTCGGGGTCGCTGAAATAGCAGCTTCTCAGACTGATGCTCCTGATGGGGATCTCCTGCAAGAGGATCCGGGCCAAGCGCTCGTACTTCATGACCCGCTCAAAGAAGAAGTTGACCTTCAGGCTGGTGGCGTGCCTGGCCAGCTTGGCCCAAGACATGCCCCAGATGACCTGCCCATGGGGGTCATGAGTGTGGCACTTGATGTTCATGGTACGCAGGGTGCCAGCAGTGTTGTCGCACAGGTTCTCCAGCAGCTCGTCAGAGATGCAGTTGTAGTTGAGGGTCAGGGACACCAGGTTGCGGAATGTAGCCATGGTCTTATTGAACTGGGGACTGCTGTAGACAGCGAGGTGGTGGCTGAAATAGTCCTCGATGTTGAGCTCTGACACCGTGCTCTCATTCCTTAAGTAGCTCAGGGCATTGAGGATGTGGCAGCCTTGTTCCGTGGTGAGCCTGGCCCCCTTCAGGCTGAGATAGTTCAGGTGTCTGCCCATCTTCTTCAAGAAGAAGCTCAAGCTTTTCATGAATGAGCTCCTGATGCTGTTCCTCCAGACCAGGCGGTCCAACTCGAGATGCTGGATGGAGAGAGATTTCAGACGGTTGTTACTCTTGCCCAGACATGAGAGGAGGCCTCGCATGGTGAGGTGGAACTTCTTGGTCAGGACAGCGTTGTAAGGATTCAGAAATTTGATCTCCAGGTGCTCCAGGTAACGACCAAATTTCTTAACATACCAAAGGGCTGACTGGAATTCAGACGCGTGTACCCTGGAAGGTCTCCCACTGAACGTGATGGTCCTGTATCGCCAGAGGTCAGCCGAATACATCATCTGGTTCCACTTCCTGCAGACAAGGGCCGCTCTGGACCTGTCCCTGTCTCCCAGCCACCAGAAGACACGACGCAGGCACACATCGGGCAGGGTGGCCCAGCAGCTCTGGTCTTGAGGCTGGATCAGTTGGTCTTCTTCATCCATTGGGGAACCAGGATGTCCACTGCAGCTGCGTGGTGGGCAGGGCTTCCAAAAATGAAGAAAGAAAAGCAATCACTTATTTTCTGTGGGGAGTAAAAAGGAAGACCATTACCTGCCAAACACATATTAAACCTAATGCAATGAACTTGTTCTGCGGCCCCATGTGTCACTACTGGGCTGGGGCATGGGGGACGAAGAATAAACCATACAGTGTACACCCACAAGGATTCACAGACCAGCAGGGGTCTAGTGGGAACACAGACCAGGACTCACATTACAACAGTGTGGGAGACGAGAAAAGATTCAGGTATATTTGTGGTGTTTCTGTCTCTGCTCAGTCGCTTCAGGCGTGTCTGAACTCTTTGTGACCCCATGGACTGTAGCCCACCAAGCTCCTCTGTCCATGGGATTCTCCAGGCAAGAATACTGGAGTGGGTTGCCATTTCCTCCTCCAGGGGATCTTCCCGACCCAGGAATCAAATCCACGTCTCTTGCATCTCCTGCATTGGCAGAAGGATTCTTCACCCACTGAGCCACCTGGGAAGCCCATTCATGGTGCAGGGTAGCACAAACAAAGCATGATTAATTCTTTCTGGGTAAGAAGTTGTAGAGAGGGCTGCTTGGAGGAGGTGGCATCTGAGCTGAGGTTTGCAGGGTGAATAGCTGTTTGCAAAGCAGGTTGGTGGTGGAGGATCTGGTATACTCTGGGAAGAGGGAACAAGATGGGTGAAGCCACAGGATGTGAGCATATGTGATGTGTTCATATTCACATGTGTTCATATTCAGGGAATTAACAGTTGTTTGAAGCTTAATTTGTGACAGGCAAGGAGTGATGAACCTGGATCTGGGGCAGTGGGAGGTGCTGGCTCAAGGGCATCTTTCAAGATGCTCTGAATGATGTGATAAAGGCTGTGTCCTAGAGGAATTCTGACATCTTCTCTGGATGAATCATTGTGTTGAGCAACACTGCTGATAGCTGTGCCTCTATTCGGGGCTTCCCAGGTGATGCTAGTGGTAAAGAGCTCACCTGCCAATGAAGGAGACATAAGAGACATGGGTTCGATCCCTGGGTCAGGAAGATCACCTGGAGGAGGGCATGGCAACCCACTACTATCCCATGGACAGAGGAGCCTGGCAGGCTACAGTCCATGGGGTCACAAAGAGTTGTACAGGACTGAAGCAACTAGTTGTGCACACACGTGTCTCTATTCAAAAAGCACAGCTGCAGAACAAAGGTGGAGAACCTTGGCTGACATCAGGGCAGGTCTAAGGATCTCATGCCCAGAAGTGATGTAGACAATCTTGAGGTAAAGAAAGTATACTCTGGGTGAGTGGAGGAAGGATGGTCTAGAGCAGAGTCCAGGCTTGAAGCCTGGGACTAGGGCAGCATGATAGTGGGAATCGGGGTGAATTGTGAGTTTTTTAGTGGACATGATTTGGCAACTGGTGAACAGAGAAATGGGAGGACTGGAAGGTCTCTGACTTGATTGAATTGCAGGTGGTACCTCGGTCAAGCTAGGGAGTCTCAGGGAAGAGCTGGGCTAAGGCCCTAGCAGATACACTGAGCTGTAGGTCAGACTTTTCATAGCCATCTGCTATAATCTTCATGGCTTTGCTATCAGAGTTTCTCCTGCCGGATAACTACCCTCCTTTTTTCTACCCCTCTCCAACCCTCCGTTTTTAAGGTTTAAGGCCTATGACTCCATAAAGCTTTTATTGATTTCTTTATTCATTGTGGCTCATAAAAACTCAGAGTTGTAAGAGACCTGAGAATTGAATTTTTTTTAACAGATAGAAACTGGGCACAGAGAGGTGAAGGGGCTTGCCTATGGTCACACAGTAAGTTAGTAACAGGACCGAGGCTAGACCTGGGCTTTCTTATTTTCTCTTGTACTTTTTTCTGGCTCTACTTATCAGGTCTTGGATGCAGAGGGAAAAGTTAATTATAATTTTCAGTTCAGGACAGAGATTCGTCTGTGCAAGAACTCTCTTTGATTTTATGACTCCATGTGACCCCATGGACTATAGCCCACCAAGCTCCTCTGTCCATAGGATTTTCCAGGCAAGAATACTGAAGTGAGTAGCCATTCCCTTCTCTAGGGGATCTTCCTCACCTAGGGATCGAACCAGGATCGCCTGCATTGCAGGCAGATTCTTTACTGTCTGAACCACGAGGGAAGCCCATTTATTCATCTATTCCCTTTTAACTCAATGTTCCACTTCGCCGTTCCCCACCATAGGCAACTATTCCAGTGTGTTTGATGTGCTTCATTTTGTTTGTGCCTGTGCTTGCCAAATGTGTGTTCCATGTCTGTAAGCATCACTCACGTTGCCCTGTGTACATCTCACACTGCATCTGTCATCTGAGTAGATCTAGTGGTGGATAGTCTCCTATTCATTCTCCCCATGAGGGGCCCCCGGGCCTCTTCCAGCTCTCCCCAACACCACAGTGGCGATGAGCATCCTCAAGTGAGATTCTGTAGGTTTCCCCCATGCCTTTATCCTCACTACCCCATCATCACCTACTGAACAATTTGGTCCCTTCCTCCAGTTGGCCCTCCCATCTCTCACCAGATAGACCTCTGCATGGAAATCGGTAGCAGCCTATCCCCAGCCAGGATCAGGGCTCTGGTGGGTTCAGCCCGCCCCCTTCTCTTTCCCCTCTCAATGTTGAAGCCTTTCTCTTCTATGAAACCCACACACTCCTTGGGACGAGGAACAGCCTCATTCTTCTTTTAAGGAAGTATTTTAACTAATGAAGAAAAAAGAGTGTGTCTTTCTTCACATATAAACTGTCCGGGGCTAGGGCATCCCACAGCACTTAGCGTAGAGCAAGTCACCTATAACCCAGGGATCGAACCTAGGTCTCCCGCATTGCAGGCAGATTCTTTACCATCTGAGTCATCGGGGAAGCCCAAGAATACTGCAGTGGGTAGCCTATCCCTTCTCCAGGGGATCTTCCCGACCCAGGAATTGAATTGGGGTCTCCTGTACTGGAGGTGATTCTTTATCAGCTGAGCTACTAGGGAAGCCCTAAGAGGTGCACAGGAAAAGCTAAAACCAGGGAATTCCAAGGTGGTCCAGTGGTTGACTCCTGGTTTCCACTCTAGGGGGCACAGTTTCCATCCCTGGACAGGGAACTCAGTGCTGCCAAGGAAAAAAAAAAAAAAGAAAAAAGCTAAACCAATTCAAAAGCTAATTGAAGTCCTTTGCCTCAACAAGGTAACAGGGTCAGAATAGTTATCAGACACTTTAAACCATAGGGTGGGGCTGGAAGAACTTCTTTGGTGGGTTGGGAATGGTGTTGCAAGCCTTCCAAAAGTCATGTCATTACCCGGAACCTACCCTACCCCTCAAGAGGCAATGTAGATTTGTGGGTTAGATTCTGGTTCTGTCAACTGCAGTATGTAACTGTGTGTGTGTGTGCCCTGTTGTGTCCAGACTCTTTGCGACCCCATGGAACCCATCAGGCTCCTCTGTCCATGGGATATTCCAGGCAAGAATACTGGAGTGGGTTGCCATTTCCTACTCCAGGGGATCTTCTGCACCCAGGGATCGAACCTGTGTCTCTTTTGTCTCCTGTATGGGCAGGAGGATTCTTTACTACTAGCACTACCTGGGAAGCCCCGCCACATCTGTTGTTCCTTTCTCCTAGCGTTGGGGGGATTAAATGGGCGGAAAACACTAGACGGAAAACACTAGAACAGTGACTGACATACAGTAAATGTTACACAAGTGTTTGCTGCCATCAGAAAGTTGGTGCCAACGTGCTTCTAAATAACATCCCTGTAAGGAAGGTATTTACGAGTGGGGAAACAGGTGTTGGAAGGTTAGGAAAATGAGATGGGTAAGTGGGGAGCAGGATTCGAACCCAGACGCGTGAACTTAGGTTGGGTTCACTCCCTCACACAGCTGCCGAGCCTGGGAGGAAACCTGGGTGTTCCATCACCCGGGGTGCGGAGAGAACCCAGGAGCCTCCCGGGGGCGGCGGGAGAGGAGGGGCGCCCACCCCGCCCCGCGCGTTACCCGTTCGCGGGGCCCTGCTTCTCCGGCTGCAGGGACCGCGAGCGCCAGGCCTGCTCCGCCCGCGCCGCCTCGGCTCCGCCGCCAACTCCGCCGCCCGCTGCCCGGCCGAGGCTAGAGGCCCAGCGGCCCGCCGCCTTTGTGACGCGCCGCCACCTGCGGGGGTCTGCTCATCCCCAAGGCCGCGGGGCCCAAACCCGGGGTGATCGCGCAGGTCGAGGGGCCAAGACAGGTTTCCCCACCCCGCAGACGGCCGGGGAGGGGCCCTGGCCCGGGACGGGAGGCAGGGGGCTGGGCCCCACAGTCCCTGCCCCCTGCCCGGCCCCTCTGCACGCCGGGAAGAGGTTCTGCCCAGGACTTGGGTTGTGCAGGCCCGATCGTTCGCCACCTTTCCTGTCTGGATCCATCCCTGGGTTCCTGTCCATTCCCGGGGACCCTCTCTGGGAAGCCAAAGCCACTGCCAACCCAGCCTTACTGTTAGTCACTCAGTCGCTTCTGACTCTTCGCAACCCGTGGACTGTAGCCCGCCAGGCTTCTCTGTCCATGGGGATTCTCCAGGCAAGAATACTGGAGTGGGATGCCATGCCCTCCTCCAGGGCATCTTCCCAACCCGGGGATGGAACCTCGGTCTCCGGCCCTGCAGGCGGATTCTTTACCGTCTGAGCCACTAGGATCCAAAGAAGGCCTTAAGCAAACCTGACAAAGCTTGAGAAAGGTCACACATCTGCAGTTTTGGGTGGGTGAGGGTGCACCCAAGCACCCACTGTCCTGGGCTCTGTCCTCCCTGTAGGAGCTGGTGCCCTAACAGGTCTCCCCTCAGGCCAGGCAGAAAGTTAGGGCTCTGCTCCTTGCGGGGAGGGGGCTGCTTCTCTGGGTGTTTCCCAGCTGCTCCCCCTGCCAGCGGCCACAACTGGCACCTCTTTGTGCATTACCTGGCTCCCCCCACCACCCAACCTCATTTTTCTCTTCCTCTCTCTCTCATTTTCTGCCGCTCCCCTTCCCATGCCGTCCTAGCCGCTGCTTCCCCACCCCACCCACCCCCAGCCCTGGAGAACCAGTGAAAAATCTAAAGAAAGGTGGAGGACAGGCTTTCAGGAAGATCTTTTTTATTCTTCAGAGATAAAGCTGGATTTCCCAAGTGTCCAGGCTGGGTTAGGCCTAGATGCTTGATCAGAATTCTCAGGCAGAAGAGTTGGCATTCTCTTTTCCTCCTGGTTTAGCTGTAGCTCTTGGGCAAACCAACATCTCTGTTCAAAAGGAGGAATATGATTAAAATCCAAACATTCTTCGACAAGAAGGAAACCCAGTGCATAAAACCTCTTTTCACAAGTACAAACTAGCACAGAAAGCAAGCAGAAAAACCAGTGTAAAAACAAAATCTTCAAAATCTGTTGTACCTTTCCCAAAGCTAGCTGGAACTTCTCACTTGTTTTCCTTTTGATGAAGTTAACCGCTGGCATTTCTCCTAAAGAAATGGATATTTTAAAAGTTCAAGGTGTATAAAGTGTTAGTTTCTGGGATATCGCTGGTTAAACATATCCCCAGTTCCTGGAGCAGGGACTCTGAGCTGTAGATATCATAGAAGAGTCATAGGTAGACATGAATGTATTTGCAAAGCAAAAATAGAGACCCAGATGTAGAGAACAAATTTATGGATACCAAGTGGGGGTGGGGTCGGGAGAGAGGAGGGTAGGATGAATTGAGAGACTGGGATTGACATATATACACTACTGTGGATAAAAGAGGGCTTCCCAGGTGGTTCAGGGGTAAAGAATCTGCCTGCAATGCACAAGACATGGGTTTGATCCTGGGTGGGGTAGATCCTCTGGAGAAAGAGATGGCAACCCACTCCAGTATTCTTGCCTGGAGAATCCCATGGACAGAGGAGCCTGGTGGGCTACAGTCCACGGGGTCTCAAAGAGTTGGACACAACTGAGTGACTCACACTTCCACATTTTTTTTACGGACTAAACAACAACAACAACATATAAAAGAGACGACTAATGATAACCTACTGTTTAGCACAGAGAACTCTACTCAATACTCTGTAATGACCTATATGGAAAAAGGACCTAAAAAAGAGGAAACATGCATACGCATAACTGATTCACTTTGCTGCACAGCAGAAATTAACACAATATTGTAAGGCAACTGTACTCCAATAAAAATGTAAAAAAAGAAAAGAAAAAAGAGAAGAAAAGGGAGGCCAGTGAACCAGGAGGGGTCCATGGGAGGTTTGGGACAGTGTTTAATAGAGGCCTGTCATCATCAGGAGGGTGGACGAACAGATGAGAGGATACCCACGCTATGGCTTCCCTGGGGGCTCAGATGGTAAAGAATCCGCCTGTAATGCGGGAGACTGAGTTCATTCCCTGGATTGGGAAGATCCCCTGGAGAAGGGAATGGCAACCCACTCCAGTGTTCTTGCCTGGAGAATATTCATGGACAGAGGAACCTGGCAGGCTACGATCCATGGGGTCGCAGAGTCAGACGCGATTGAGCAACTATCAGTCACACACACAAGGGTCCATGGTCTGAGCCTCTAGGGAGTCCTCATGGACTCTTACAACATTAAAAAAGAAAAGGGAGGGGCAACATTATTTGACTTGGAGGGTTGCCCTTCTTATTATTGGTTATTGATGAATCCTATACAAGCAGTGTGTACAATTGGACTCCAAATGTGTGTGTGTGTGTGTGCGCGCACACACACACACACACACACACACACACACGTATGCGGTTATATAATAGAGTTGCCAGATAAAATACAGGCTGTCCAGTTAGATTTTAATTTCAGAGAGACAAAGAATTTTTCTTAATATGAGTATGTCCCATGAAATTATTTTATAGTTATTTTTGTCCCAAGTAATGATTTTTTTCTTTGCTAAATTCAGCATGCCCATCATTAAAGATGGAAGGAAGTATGGAAGAAAATTTCAATTGTAGGAGACAAGGGAATATGGCACTAATAGCACCCTCAGCAAGTATGAAATTCACTCAGCTTGGTAAAATTGTGTGCTTGTGTGCATATAGAGATGCTTAAAGAAGTTAGAATGATCAAGATTTAGGTCTACTTCTTTGTAAGGCGTGTGCGTCATATATTCAGCAAAAGAGGCAAATGGTGGAGTCATGAGTCTGGGAAGATGATATATGGGGGAAGAAAAGCAATTCAAACCCCATGGAGGCTTGTCAGGGTTTTGTGAACAGAGGTGAAGTTTTGGAAGGACACCCACCTGAAACTAGTACTTCATGGCATGGGACTTGGGAGGTGGGGTGGGTGTGGGGGAGGATTAGCTTTATCTTTATGTTTGTTTGTATGGTATCATGTCAAATGGTTACAACAAAATCTAGTATCTAGTACTAGCAAACTCTGGGAGATAGTGAAGGACAGGGAAGCCTCGCGTGGGGTTGCAATGAGATGGACGTGAGTTAGCTACTGAACAACAACAACTTTTGTATTCTGAAAAACATCAAATAATGAAAATATTTTAAAGTGAGACATCCTTTTTGGGGCTTGAGAGCATAAGCTTTGTAACTATATCCACATGTATAGTTGGCTGGATCCTACGACTCTCTAATTGTGAAATCCTGGGGAAGCCACTCGACCTTTCTGTTTAGTTTCCTTATCTATAAGGTAGGGGTAAAATACCTTCCTGATGTTCATAAAGATTAACCATTTTTAAAGAGCTTTGCCACCCTGTGGACTGTAGCCCACCAGGCTCCCCGGTCCATGGGATTCTCCAGGCAAGAATACTGGAGCGGGTTGCCATTTCCTTCTCCAGGGGATCTTCCCGACTGAGGGATCAAACCCACGTCTCTTGCATCTCCTGCTTTGTCAGGCAGGTTCTTTACCAGCTGAGCCACCAGGGAAGTCCTGCTTTGCATTGTAACTAGTGCATAATGGTTAACTACCTCTAATGCTAATTCTTCTTTATTGGAAAGTAATCTAGGATGTGAAAAATCAGGTTATTGAGCCTGCAAGTCCTGAGCTACTGGAGGTAAACCTTAATCTATTGGAGGCAAGATACCAACTGACTTAGGATCTTGACCAAGGCTCTGATCTCTGGACTGCAGTTGCCTTATCTACGCCATGAGAGGGCTAGACTGGATGCCCTCTATTCATTTGTTTGCTCCATGGTTTGGGGGCATTTGCTGTGGTCAGTAACTCGGCTGGGCACTGGAGATAGAGATGAGAGGTTGGCTCTGCCATCAGAAATGGGAGGTGATGAACATATATAAACAGGTGATAAGTGCTGAGAGTGGATCTGGACACACAGAGGAAGGGGAGATAGTGTTGTCTGAGGACAGCTCGCAGGACGTGCATTCCTTTAAACACTGTCCTGATGGCTCACAGCTGGGTATGGAGGGAACAGAGGCTGAGTACCTGGTGGTGGTTTAGGGTTGGCAGGGGAAGTAGGATACCACACTGAGAACATCTCCTCAGAATGTCATAGGCTGTCTCATCTTCTACAGGAGAGGAGGCTCTGAGCTTGCCATTGGATGTCAAAGGCAGATTCGTGGTTTTGTTTGTGCTTCGTGGCGCTTGCCTTGTTGACTTTTCAGAAAGAAAGGGAGCACTGTGTCTATTTTTCAGTTTTGGACGGACATCTTTCTCTGCCTTGGAAGTCTGGTCTTCAGCAGCCCGACTTGGAGGGGATGAAGGAGGAGTTTCTGGTTTTCCTGCTGGAGAATGTGTCACAGCACCTGAGACTCGATGGCATCTATCCTGCAAGGGTGAGTCAAGCATCAAATTTTTAAATGACCTCAGTTTTAATGGTGGACAATACAGTAGGCGAGCTAACCTGAAAATTTCCCACTCCAAACACTTTAGAAATGCTGGATATAATATGACAAACATTCATTGAGCTGACTTTGCAAGGAAGCAAGCAAACTCATGTTCCAGGAAAGAAGACCTACCTGTTAAGCACATGAGGTAACCCTTTAGGAGGAGATTGCAGGGTCAATCTCATGACTAAGAGCTTGGATGAGAGAAAAGTCCCATCCACATGATGTGTGAAATTGGAAGAGTCCCCCTTCCCTGCACGAAGCTGGGAACACTGAAGTCTGAACTATGGTGGCCAAGAGACAAAAATTGACTAACTGGAAAAGGGAAATGATAAGAAATCTCGTCTACCTTGGACTAGAAATTGAGCATGAGGTGATACATTCTGAAGAAGAGAGAGAGAGGAAAAAAAACCAAACATATGAGCCTATTGCCCTAAGGGGCTTCCCTGGTAGCTCAGCTGGTATCCGCCTGCAATGCAGGAGACCCATGTTCCATTCCTGGGTTGGAAAGATCCGCTGGAGAAGGGATAGGTTACCCACGCCAGTATTTTTGGGCTTCCCTTGTGTCTCAGCTGGTAAAGAATTTGCCTGCAATGTGGGAGACCTGAGTTCGATCCCTGGGTCGGGAAGATCCCCTGGAGAAAGAAATGGCTACCCACTCCAGTGTGTCTATGGGGTCACAAAAAAATGACAAGAAAGCTTGTCTACCTTGGACTAGATATTGTTCATGAGGTGATAAATTCTGAAGAAGAGAGAGAGGAAAACAAACAAACAAACACATCTGAGCCTATTGTCCTAAGCAGGATGAATAAAAATAAATCTTCTCTTGGATACATTGCAGTGAAACCACAGAAGATCCAAAGCAAAGGGGATCTTGAAATCCAGCAAAAAAAAATGGTCATTGGCGAAGGACCAGCAGCTACACTGAGAGCAGACTTATCAACAGCAATCAGAGAGGTGGGAAGATGGTGGAAATGCTTCAAAATGCTAAGAGAAAATAAAGGTTAATGGAGAATTTGAAATCCAATTAAACTAACATTCAAGAATGCAGAATAAAGGAAGTAACTATGCAGATAACTAAAGATACCTAGACATGTATTTCAGGATGACAGAAATCTTGCCCAGAAGGAAAGCTTGGGATTCAAGAAAGCTTGGGATCCATGACTTCCCTGGTGGTGCAGTGTAAGAATCTGCCTTGCAGTGCAGGGGACTCGAGTTTGATCCCTGATCAGGGAACTAAGATCCCACATGCCACAGTGCACTTCAACTATTGAGCCCAAACGCTCTGGAGCCCACGTGCCGCAACTAGAGAGAAGCCCTCACATTGCAATAAAGATTCCACATGCCACAACTAAGACCCAATGCAGCCAAAATAAATCCATAAAATATTTTAAAAAGAAAGAATGTCAGCAAAGAGAGAGGTAAACGTATGAGTATATCCAAGCAGGCATGAATTGAATAAAAGGACAGTAATAATAATTACTAAAGAGGAATAGTTCACAAACCAGGTGAAACTAAATTCCACAGCATTTATTAATACATAAAAGGTGGAAATAGAGAATCAATCAGCATGTTTTCAAATCCATATATTGTTTCTGTGGAGGGTAGGGAATGTAATTTAGATTTAAAGTCAAGTATTCCAATTAAAATGCACTAAATGTCACCAATAGTAAATTTTATATGTGTGGTCCACAATAAACAAAAAGACCTAGATCATCTTTAGGATTTCTTTAGTTCTGATATGCATTGTTCTCTGGATTGAAGGGTAAAGAAAGGACAGTTTGCCATTCATGAAGAAGGATGTGAGTTCTTTGGAGAGATGCTTTGGGGAGAATCCCCCAAAGAAAATGCTCCATCCTGTAGAAGAGAGGAGCAGCTTGGCCTGACTAATGCATTAAAAGGTGCTTAGAGTGATGGAAGGAGGAGTCTGTGAATTGTCCCAGGCAAAAGCAATCAATCAATCCATCACATCATTACATCCTTTCAGAGTCCTGCTTTTGGTACCCAGCCCTGATATCAGCTTCACTGTGGGAAGATGGAGAAAGCTATTGACTTTTTTGGGGAAGCTCACAGCCTGATAGAGGAGACTTCCACATGGGATGTGCTGTGCTGTGCTTCGTTGCTCAGGCGTGTCTGATTCTTTGCAACTCTATGCAGCCAGGCTCCTCTGTCCATGGGGATTCTCCAGGCAAAAATACTGGAGTGGGTTGCCATGCCCTCCTCCAGGGGATTTTCCCAACCCCGGGATTGAACCCAGGTCTCCCGCACTGCAGGTGGATTCTTTACCATCTGAGCCACCAGGGACATGGGATAGAGAATAATAAAGCAGAGCCTATTAAGGCCTAACTTGCAATGTCCAGGCCCTCAGAGGTGATCAGTGATAGCTGGATTGGTTAGGGAGGCTCCTTGAAGGGCTGGCATGATTGGAATCCAATTATGTGTGCTAAATGAACCTAAAGCAGTTCATGATGTCCTTTTTTGAACAAAGCAAAACGAAATATGGGAACCCTTAATATTCATGCTGTGTAAAACTAGACCCAGAATCTACCATTCAAGACTTCCCAGGTGGTCCAGTGGTTAAGAATCCACCTGCCAATGCAGAGGACACAGGTTCGATCCCTGGTCCAGGAAGACCCCACATGCCATGGAGCAACTAAGCCCAGGCGCCACAGCTACTGAAGCCCACGCATCTAGAGCCCATGTTCAGCAACAAGAGATGTCACAGCAATGAGAAACCTGCGATGAAGGCTACGATGAAGATCCAGTGCACCCAATAAGTAAATAAATAAAATGAATGAATTTCAAAAAGAATCTACTGTTCATATCATACTTTTTGGAATATGGACTGGCTATTGGCATCATTAGAAAATGACAAATTTCTACTCACCAGATGGTGGAAATACTTATTTCCTGGAATCATTTGGTTGCAATAATGACAGGAGATGTTGCTTTCAGGAGCTTGAATGCTCTTCCCTGAAAAAGCACAGAAACAACAGCACAAATGATTGCCCTTGACAATGGCCCGCCCGACTGCCCCACAATTGCCCCACTGTGTGGCCTGCAGTCCTGAGGATGCCTTGTCCCGAGTCTGCCATGAGTGTCCTACACTGCCAGGGTCCTTGGTCACATGGACCACCCACAACTGGAATCACCCACATTATTTCCATTAAATCATAAAAGTGCCCTTGGGGCAGCACACAGTCCTGATGAAGAGACGTTTTCCTGGAGCAGGACTGGTTTCCAAGGAGACAGAAGGAGCTGTTACCACAGATGCCAGTGCTGTTCAACCTGACTGCCCTTTCAGTTTAGCCATTTCCAAGCTCTGTGATCAAATGAGGAGTTAATTGCACACATCTTTGTTGATTGTGTTGAAGTTGTGTTGTGCTGTCTTGTTGAATTTGTGTTGTGTTGATGCAGTTGTATGGTATTGATGAAGTTGCATTGTCTTGTTGAAGTTGTGCTGTTGTTGAAGTCGTGCAGTCTTGTTGAAGTTGTGTTGTATTGATGAAGTTATGCTGAAGAGTTGTTTGTTGGCTGTGTTGAAACCCAGGCCTGCTGGAAATGTACTTGAATCTTAAGCACCCCAGTTTTTCATTTGCCGATTTTGATAAAATCATTTACCCGGAGAGACTTACCTACCGCCCAAGGGATTTTTGGCTCTGTCCCCATGCTACTGTTGTTACTAAAACAACTGGTGAGAAGATGTGTTTGGCTCGTGTTCTCTGTAAACACACTTCATGAAGAGGTAACTGGGTAAAGAGAGCACGCTGGGGCACCAGGTGGCCAACACATAGGCCCAAAGGTCAGGAGTTACAACTGGATCCTTTATGTCTGTGGCTGATGGTGGGAAAGTTCCTGATTTTGTGTCAGGGAACTTGGGTATCCTATCTGGTTTCTGCCTCCAGCAAGCCCCTGTTTCACTCTGCATAGGTTTCTCATCTCTACAAGGATTCAGGTGGGTCTCTGCCAGGCTGGAGTCACGCTGGAGGAGTTCAAAGGAAGCCTCCCATATGGTAGGGCCCCATTGCCTCTGTACTCATCTGCGTAGTTCCTAGCTCCCCAACCCCTGACTTCTTGGCTCCCTGGATCAGTCATTTATTTTTATAAATTTGAAAAATTTCTTTTTATTGGAGGAAAATTGCTTTACAATATTGTGTTGGTCTTTGCCATACAGCAACTCAAATCAGTCATAATTATATGTTCATCCCCTCCATCTTGAACCTCCCTCCCCACCCCTTTCCACCCCTCTAGGTTGTCACAGAGCACCGGGCTAGGCTCCCTGCATAATACAGCAGCTTCCTTATAGTTATCTATTTTACACTTGGCAGTGTATATATGGGGCTTCCCAGGTGGCGCTAGTGGTAAAGAACCTGCCTGCCAAGGCGGGAGACGTAAGAGATGTGGGTTTGATTCCTGGGTCGGGAAGATCCCCTAGAATGGAGGGTATGGCAACCTACTCCAGTATTCTTGCTTGGAGAATCTCATGGACAGAGGAGCCTGGTGAGCTACAGTCCATGGGGTTGCAAAGAGTCAGACACGACTGAAGTGGCTTAGCACACATGCACACAGTGTATATATGTTAATGCTACTGTCTCAGTTTGTCCTACGCTCTCCTTCCCCTGCTGTGTCCACCCGTCCATTCTCTATGCCGGAGTCTCCCTTTCCTCTCTGTAAATAGGTTCATCAGTACTATTTTTTAGATTCCATATTTATGCATTAATCTACGATATTTGCTTTTCTCTGGACCAGTCATTTCAAGACACAGCAGACACACAAGAAGGCCACTCTGGAACTAGACTAGCCAGGTGACTTAGAAACACGCGCATCTGTCATCACCCTCGTCACCCATCCCGCTGAGAGCTCACGATCCTCACCTTTCTGGAGCCGAGGCTGCTCACGCCGACAGTCTTCTCTGTGCTGGGCCAGCACGCGGAGCATGACATGCTGGCCGCAGTCTGGGCAGACCTCCATCTGCTGGCCACAGTGGTGCTCGTGGAGGTCCACCTTGTTCAGGCTCATGGCCAGGTGGCAGAACTGACACTCAGCCTGGAGCTCCTGACACTACGGGGAGCCGGGGGGACGGGCATGGTCACTGGCCTGCAGTGACTGCAGTCGCCCTGGGTGGGGGGGCGGCCTGAAGCCAGTAAGAGAAAGCAGGTGGGAAAGACTGGAGGGTGGGGGGTGGGAGAGGGTTGTGGGAGAGGGGCTTCTCCTTGCAAGGGGAACATGAGCTGTCTTGGACCCTGGCAGTCTCTTCTGACCAGTGTCTGGGGGCAAGAAGCCCTGTGTTGCTGTGATAAGCTAGTTCCAGGCCTGCTTGGGAGAGAAGAGAGAGCTGGGGGCAGGAGGGGAGAGCTTTATGACCGGCCCCCTCCCCTCCTCCTGGGCTTGGCAGAAGAAATCACACCTGCCCCTCACCTTATGACTCTCCAGCAAGTCCTTCGGCATGCTCTGCTGACATATGGCGCATCCCACCTAAATGCGGAGGGAGGTGCTCGAGTCCCACCCTGGCTCCATGTGTCCGGGGCGGGTCTGTGAGCACCTGGGGTCAAGTCAGTCACCCTCCTCTGCCTGCAGCACCAGCCCTGAGCTCAGGGATGCATTTGTGGGAGATGAGCTGAGATGGATGCCTGAGCTTGAGGAGCTCCAGAAACAGCTAGAGAGAAAGGTCAGCCTTTGACCAACCTTGGCCATGACTGCCTTCCAAGCTCCACTTTCTTGTTTCTCCTCTTGACACATCTCAAAAGAACATTTTACTTTTCCCAAAACAGGGACCCCTAGTCTTGGCCAACCTCATACGCCTGTAGGGAAAAATTGGGAATGGGAAACTGGGGTCGACTCGATGCAATACAGGAAACAAGTGTTAGTGGCCCAGTCATGTCTGACTCTTTGCAATCCCATGGACTGCAGTCCACCAGACTCCTCTGTTCATGGGATTCTCCAGGCCAGAATACTGGAGTGAGTTGTCATTCCCTTAAATCTTCCCAACCCAGGGATGGAACCCAGGTCTCCTGCATTGCAGGCAGATTCTTTACCCGTCTGAGCCCCCAGGGAAGCCCAGGTGGCAGTACAGGAAAGGCAGGATTATCTATCCTTTCCACTTTGCACAGGGGGCTTGGCGCGGGGGCTGAGCGGCTTGCAGTCATGAGATGGGCTGCAGAGAGGACCCTATCCCTCCACCTCCGTCCCCCAATCTGCCTCCCCACCTGCTGGTGCCCGCCCTGGCGGTGTTCTTCCATCTTATCCCATAGGACGAGTTCCTTGCACTCTGGGCAGAGGACCAGAAATACCAGGCAGTGGGCCTCATGGAGGGCCAGGAGGTTGGAGGCCACCCTTCTTTTGCTGCAGGATCAAGAGGGAGGAAAAGCAGGTTTATTTCATGGTATAAAGCATGGAGCCATATTTTATACCCGGAGCTCCTGGATGAAGTTCTTCCAAGGCCTCAAGCACTGAAAATATGATGAGGAGACCACCTGCCTCACCTTCCCCATGTTGATCTCAAATCAGAACAATGCTGAATCATGACGTAATGGTAAGGATGCTATGCAAAGCTCTTATGTTGCCCAGGGTGAGCACGGTGAGCGAGAAGGAGCAGGAGGGAGCGATTACAAAGGAACAAGAGAAACCTTTGGGAGGTAATGAATAGTTTCATTGTCTTGATTGTGACTGACGAAATAAAATTTATATTTTAAGGCAGGACAAGAACAAATTAAAGATAAAACTCTCTGTGTGTGTTTGGGCCTCCTCCCTCCCTCATGTGCATCTGTACTACACATTAACCAGAGTGCCTCATAGATGGAAGAGCCTGCTCAACCGTTTCTTTTTTTTCTTTCTTCTGATGCCAGAAATATAACTTAAAAGAATAGTGTTCTCTCTTAGATCTGTGCTCAGTCGCAGTGCCTCACTGCTCACCCAGTACTGTCTGTATGTGCTTACCTGTTCTATAGGTAGGTATCCTTGCTGAACTTTATGCAAAATACCAGTATGTCATTTTGATTTATGATCCTTTGTCTCAAAAGCATCTGACTGTGTCTTTGACTTCTAACCTGGGCTTCCCTGGTGGCTCAGATAGTAAAGAATCTGCCTGCAATGTGGAAGACTGAGGTTTAGTTGCTCCGCTGTGACTCTGCGACCCCATGGACAGTAGCCCCGCCAGGCTCCTCTACCCATGGGATTTCTCAGGCAAGAATATTGGAGTGGGTTGCCATTCCCTTCTCCAGGGGATCTTCCCGACTCAGGGATCAAACCTGTGTCTTCTGCATTGCCAGGCAGATTCTTTACTGTCTGAGACACCAGGGAAACCCAATATATATATTATTTTTCAGATTATTTTCCATTATAGGTTATTACAAGATATTGACTATAGTTCCCTGTGCTATACAGTAAACCTTTGTTGCTTGTTTCTTATCTATTTTTTAAAATTAGAAATCTAGCATTCTACTTATACTAAGTCAAGCAAGTGGAATCAAAATGTCATATTTTAGTTAGGCAAAAACTCTTTTAAGTTTTCTAATACATATATACACTATATACTATATATACATATATATACTATACTAATACATATATTATGCATATAAATTATACATATTATATAATAAATATAAATATATTTATTTATAAATATATAATAATATAATTATATAAATAATATATAATATATATTATATTAGTCATATATATGTATACAAAGCTTTTCTACTTTGGGAAGCATGGACTCTTAATCACTGGACCACCAGGAAAGTCTCCCTTCCTCTATTCTTACCCCTCTGCCCGGCCTGGCACCTCAGCTTTTTTCCTGAGCTGGTGCAAACACCAGACAGCCAGGAAGGTCTGGCGGGAGAAGGTCCTTGGGGAGGGATCCCCCTGGTTCCTGTCACAGGTAGGGAGCTTCGAGAGTGGGGTGCCTCAAGGGGTTGGGTCCCCATGATTTAGAGGTGTGGGCTGGGACCTCTGCTCTATCCTCTCACCCTGCTCCACAGCTCCCTCTAAAGGTGGGGGTGGGAATGGCCCCAGACCATCTGCCTGAGCCTCTTTCTTTCAGACTGTTATGAAGAGCATAGAAATTAGGACCCATGGTCTGAAAAATAGGAGTAGCCCAGCAGGGATGGTTAGCCTGGCTGGCTGGTTGTAGAACTGTCCCAGAAAGTCTTCAATATCTGGAGATGGGGGTGGGGCGGGGTTCAGGGATGTCTGCCAACCCTGAGCATCTCTCACTGATATCTCCTGAGTTTACATCTTCCCACCGCAGGGGCCCACCCTGGCCTGCTGGGCACATGGACCCTTTTCTCTTCACTTTAGAAACAAACTTATCCTGTCTGCCCCTCTCACCAGCCAGCCTCAGGTCGGCCACCAGGGAAAGCGACTTCTTACCAGTTCCTGCACATCTGGTAGGCTCCCTCCATGTTCGGATCTCCGGAGTCTTTCTGTTTTAAGTTTCAGTTCTTGCAGGCAGAGAAACAAAACTGAAAGTGTTCCGGCAACAGGGCCCACAGCCTAGGAAGGGAGGGGTTTTCAGATTCCTCAGTCCAGGGCTGCTGCACAATACCTGTGACTGGACATCCAGGAAGCCCGGTCCCTGCCTCCTCCCTCAGCCTGTGCTGCTACCACTGGCTGTTTCTGCGACCCCTTGGGTGGGAGCCAGAGGCCAGGCCTCCCTGGGCAGCAGCCCCTCCCCTCCCCCAGGCTGGCCTCACTGCATCCGGGCCACTCCATCCTCTTCCACAAAACACTGACCTCCTTGTCCCTCCTGGTCCTCTCACTGATCCTTCCTCTGTAGGAAACAGCTGGTTGGCTGTGTTGAACATGAACTTGAAGTCAGCTCCTCCTTGAGAACAGCTCTTGACTTCCTGTATTCTACTCTGGTCCGGTCAGGGGCAGGAGGAATTGGGGATGCAGGGTGAGAACTGCAGGCTTTGGAGCCACATCCCGTAGCAGCTTGGTGACCTAGGGCACTCACCTGTTCCCCTGTTCGCCTCTGTCCTCACTTGTAAATAATTATAGCAAACACGGCTGTAATGCTAACAGGGGGCAGGCTAATGGGGAAGTCTTCAAACACAGAAACTGCTGTGCTGAGGGCTGATGTAACTTGCACACATTGCCAGCCAACAGGAAGCAGAATCAGGCTTTGAACCCAGGCCAAGAGGCCCAGCGCTTGTCTCTCCTAGAATGGCCAGAGGGTCGGGAGACAGGAAGTTGAATCTTGGTAGTGGACCTAACTGACAGCAAGAGTCACTTTAGCCTCTGGGCTTGTTTCCTCATTTCCTCCTGCCACCCCCCACTCCCCGCCTTCCTCTGGACTCTACAGGGGACCTGGAGAACGTGGGGAGTCCAGGGGCTCCCAGAAGCTGTGTGAAAAATTGCTTTATTTGAGTACGTGGACTTGAAAGGAGTCTAGCACCTAGACTGTTAAAAATGACTGGACAAATTGACCCCAAAGTTTGAGATTCAAAGAAATCAAGTTCTGCTAAAGACAACACGTGTCTAAAATTATATATGCATAATTGGATCAAATGAACAGTTGTTTGTGTTCTTTTCACAGAGCAGGATGTAATTAATTAGACAAAAATGACAGAACAGTGTATCTAATCGCTCAGTAGAAATTGAAGAATTTGCAGATAATTGCAATTCCATCAGAAACGTTTGGATATTATATACTTTATGTTGATATTTTTAAGGGGATTTAATGTGTATTTCTATTTCCCAGAGTCTTATTTGTAAAAAAAAAAAAAAGCCTGTCTTTAATTAGCTTCAATATTTACCTTTATTATTCATAAACACAACTAAGACATTGATGTGTTATTGCAATGATTGTGGCTTTGCACATTTGTCTACGCATGTTAATTTATTCAAACTTTAGTAAGCACGCCATCTACATAACCTTACTATACTTGATCAATATGTGACAGTTTTCCACTATCACATGAGTAAGTCCCTCCTGATGGTCAAGTCAGAAATTGAAAACGGACCACTGAGGCGTGATGGGTACGCCACACTCAGGCACTTAGCCTGACGTGTGGCCATTTGTTGGGATTCTTGGGGCAGCAAGGATGATGGATTCCAAACTTGCCCACACTTGGAAACCGCTTGGGAAACTAACCAAAAGCCACGGATGCCTGCCTAACCCCAGAAAGCGGGATTTCCCTGGTCCGGCAAGTGGCTGGGACTTTGGAGGTTTTGAAAGGTCCCAAGTGATTCTAACATGGAAACCAGTTGGTGTCGGAGGAAAGGGCTGGTTCTGAATGCCAGGAACTTTCCCACCGGAACAATAAGAGGATGGGGCAGATGAGTATCACTCAAGAGTCCACAAGTGTGGGGACCAACTCTTGGTGCTCATGGCAGAAAGATGAGACTGGGTTATTACAGGAGGAGAGCTGGGATTTGTGGGTGGAAGTCCTGGGAGGCCCCAAGCTTCCTCCTGGTCACCACCCTGTCCCTGGATGAACCTGTCAGGGATGGAGGATACCTGGCCCCAGGAGTGGGGCAGCAAGGGTTTAGGATGCAGTGAGCATGCTTCTCTCATGTCTCAGGTGGGTGAGCTCTCGAGAAAGCCCGCCTAAGCCAAGGTGCAGATAGGCTCTTTGTCTGGAGCACTTTGTGCTACACACCGGAAGAGAAGGGGGAACAGGGTATGAAAGCTGCTTACATAGCCCCCGCCTCCGCCTGCTCGACAGACTCTCTCTAATGTGTATCTGCACGCCCACACCCCTACAACTGAGGGTCCTCAAAGCTTTCCCAGACCCCAGTGACAGCTGAGCTAACAGAAGGATTCCAGGGCATTGAGCAGTGGCACAAGGCTATGAGAGAATTCTTGTGATGCCTGCAAATGGAGTGAGAGCAGCTTTTCTAAGGAGGAGAATAGAATTAAGGAAAAGGTTCAGACATGGTCTCCAGCCAACTGGCAGACTCTAAAATTCGGATACGGAGTGAGAGACGTGCCTGCATGCTCAGTCACTAAGTCTTGTCTGACTCTTTGCAACCCCATGGAGTGTAGCCCTCTGTCCGTGGGATTCTCCAGGCGAGAATACTGGAGTGGGTCACCAGTCCCTTCTCTAAGGGTCTTTCTGACCCAGGACTCAAACCCAGGTCTCCCGCATTGCAGGTGGATTCTTTACCAGCTGGTCTACCAGGGAAACTCATGAGAGACAGCGGATGGTAACAGTAATGATCAGTGATAGGAGGTAACAGCAAAAATTACTACTTATACATTTCCTCTGCTGCAGGTGAAGGAGGAAACAGACAGGGCTGGACTCCGTCTTAGGCCAGGCTGTGAGCGTTAGGCTACACGCATGGTCACCCTCCCAATGGACTCTGAACTTTGTGCCAGGTGTCTATAGAAATGGCATACCAATGGAAAACCAGACCCCCCGGATAAAAGAGCCTCAGGACTTGTACTTGGACTCTCTGTTGCCTGAAAGAATATGCTAATTATCTCTGTACCAGAACAAAGTGGTAAATTCCATTATGTTTATTGGGATATGACCACAGGCCTGTTGATATATATCCACTGTTTATCTAGTCTTGTGACACATGAATCATGGGTTAACTTTGATCGTATCTCTCTTTTACCTTGTCCAGACTAGTTTCAAGGAATTTGGGGAGGTGTGTTTGAGCAAGTACACTTAGGGTTTATAAGGTTTTCACAAAAACTGGTCGGGGTCTTTGGCTAAGAGGAGACTCTGCCTTGGGCCCACCGGTGTAATAAACTGCACTCTACTATCTGCATTGTCCTTCTGAGTGAGTTTGTTTTGCAGAACGCGTGGCTACAACACAGGCATTATATGAAGCATTTTATAGGCAAGATCTTTTTTAATCTGCCCAACAGCTCTGATGTATGTATTTTAGCCCCATTTACATCTGTGGAAATGGGGGCACAGAGAGGTTAAGTACTTTGCTCATGGTCACACAGTGGGGAAAAAAAAGAAGGTCACACAGTGAATATCAGAACTGGGATTTGGACCAGGCTGATCTCACTCAGGGGTCTGTGAACATAGTCAGACACCGGCCACCTTATTTGACAGCTGGAGAGGATGGGGGAGACCCAGGTTAATGTCCCTATTCCCTTCCTCCTCACCTGGGAAAATTGTTTAATTCCTCTGACCTTTGCCTCCCACTGGTGTCTGTCTCCAGGCAGTTTTACACATAGCAAAAATAATGGGGAAAAACCCTGAGAATTTCACACACGTTGTCTCCTGCTGAGATCCCCCAGAACAGAGCGGGTGGTGAGATGTCAAAAAGAGTGCAAAGATAAGACTCCTGGGGGACAGGGATCGGTGATGGTGGCCATGGTGGTGGAATTGGAAATGACCTTGAGCTTTTTAAAATCTACATCCTAGTTGTCTTCTAAGATGTTTCCTCTTTCCAGACCGGCACACCCCTGCACCACCACTTCCTTACCTTATCAAAATCCCATCAGTTCTTCAAAGCTAACTCTGACATCATCACTGATACAGGACCTACTTGCTCTGTCTCTGGGTCTGGTTGGCTGCTTATCTGTCTGTAGCCCCAATCTGTGCTCATCCAACCACAGATGTAGGCAATTTGAGATTCATCACCGCCTTTTTAAAAAAAATTTTGGCTACACTGGATCTTCATTGCTACACAGGCTTTCTCTAGTTGCTTCTCATTGTGATGGTTTCTCTTGTTGCAGAGCATGGGCTCGAGGCGCATGGGCTCAGTTGTTGTGGCACATGGGCTTAGTTGCCCTTTGGCATGTAGAATCTTCTCAGATCAGCAATCGAACCGGTGTCCCCAGCATTGGCAGGTGGATTCTTAACCCCCTGGACCATGCAGGATGTCCTCATCACCTCTTTCATCAAGCTGTTTCTATTTCATCAGCTTCTGCCAAAGGACACTCTGTGCTTGTGCGCCATAGACTGTGAAGCCTTGAGCTGTGTGTAGTGGGCAGGCAAAGGCTGGCTGAGCTGAATGTGTGTGAACAATGCAGGCCTGAGATAGAGTAGAAGTTAGAAAACTCCCTCCACCCCCATCTCCATCCCACCCCACCCCAGAACCTGAGGTTCTCAAAGCAACAGTGGATGCCATTTCCTTCTGAATTTTAATTGGAGGATAATTGCTTTACTATATTGTGTTGGTTTCTACCAATCACAACATGAATCAGCCACAAGTATTCACATGTCCCCTTCCTCCTGAATCTCCCTCCCCATCCTCCCCCCGCCCCCAGATTGTCACAGAGCACTGGGTTGAGATCCTTGGGTCATATAGCAAATTCCCACTGGCTATCTATTCTACATATGGTAATATATATGTTTCCATGTTGTTCTCTTAATTCATCCCACCCTCTCCTTCCTTTCTGAATTTTAAAGAGAACCTATAATTCTAATCCATAAATAAGTTTTCTTAAAAAAAAAGTTTTCTTTCATTTTTTTTTAAGTTGGAGCAAAAT